AGCAGTCACCGGCCACATCGACCTGATCAGTGTTTGATTGTTGTGTCTTGTTGCTTTTCTTCTTTTGTCTCTCCTCTATCCACTCACCCCAACCGGTCGAGGCAGAAGGCCACCCACCAAGAGCCGGGGTCTGTTGGAGGTTTCTTCCGTTAAAGGGAGTTTTTCCTCCCCACTGTCGCCAAGTGCTTGCTCAAGGGGGATTTGTTGGGTTTTCCCTATGTAATAATATTGATAACAGTAAGGTCTAGACCTTACTTTGTAAAGTGTCCTGAGATGACTTTTGTTGTGATTTGGTGCTATACAAATAAAATTTGATTTGATTTGATTTGATTTGAAAAGATAAAGACCTTCAAATACACAAGTTTTAGACTTGTGGGAAGAAGTGTTTTCACTTTGGACAAGTGTTAGCCATTCACTGTGTTAAGTCTTTGAGCTAGGTTGAAGTCGAGACATATCTCTGATGTGTCCCTGCAAAAAACACACAGAAGGAAAACTCATGCTTATGTTTTCATCTGACTCTTGCTAAGAAGACACCGAGCTACGTTTTTGTGGTGGAAATCTAATCTAAATAATCTGACAGTTGGCTTCTCAGTCTTTATCTGATCTGGTATAGAATAACAGGTCAAACTGAAATACTGAACAGCGAGTCAGGGTGGGCTGCTTCTCCCCAGCCAACGTTTGACACAGCACAGTCTGAAGTGAAAATCTATAATTTGTCTCAGCTGTTTGTGGATGTGCTGCCATGTAAACAAACATTGCAGTCACTCTCAGCCAAGATAACATTAAGTGCTGAGGGAAGACAGAGTCGGCTGCATTTGTGCACGTGTGTGTGCGTCCATGTATAGAGTACATACATAGAGAAACAGCAACAGGGCAGATTAGGGGCCTTTTTTAAGTATCAGGGCAGGACAGAAGGTTTCGTCTCAGGCAGGAGGAGGGGTGCCGGGGTGCTCGCTCTCCCTCATGGGCCTCTCCTGTCCTGGTTTAGTGGTTGCATGGAAACAGCCATCAAAGCCTATAAACCATAGGAATGTGGGAGAGGTGTCTGAGTGTGTGTGTGTGTGTGTAGAGATGAGACCAGAATAATACAGAACATAATCACCAAACCAAAACTGTCCTTTGCCTTAAGCAAAATGAATATATGTTAATAAACCAGTAGGTTCACATGGTCTAAAGAGAGTGCAGAGCTTTAAAGTCCCTCTGCTCCAGTGTTCTAATGCTAACTCCACCAGAAAAAAAAATACTGAACATATTTTCCAATCCACACTCTTCTGCATCCAAGAGGATACTCAAATATCTGCAGCCACTATTCAAAGTAATAGCCATCAAATTAGACATGTTGACAGTCTGACGTGATAATATCAAGTGATCAACAGGGGTATTTTTCTCCTCCTAAACCCGACGTTCCCTCCTTTCCAGCCTGCCAGCTGGAGTGTCCAGTGACAATAGTTGGACTCGGGCTCTTCTCTTAGGACAGAGCCAAATTTCGTTAGCTAACATGGGTGAGCCTGAAATCCTGCTCTGAGCGCCATGTACAATGCATATACATAATTAAACACATGCATAGAAGTACATGTGGTTGCTCCCTACACACTTCTCAGAAAATACACAAACTCTGCACAGTCATCACATCACTATCACACACAAATGCTGTACACTGTCCCAACAGACACATTCTGTGCCTGCGGCCCTTCTGATTCTTCATGCTCACAGCAATTTACATGTAGCAGCCTCAGCAGAAAGAGGGTAACTATCAGTGAGCTTTTTCCATTTTGCCACGAACTAAGTACAGCTCTTACTTTAGTCCACAGCAGATTCATGTTTAGCTCCAAAACAAGCTATAAATCAGAAGTGGACTCAGTAACTTTAACCAGTGACTTTTTTTTCCTCATTCTTATTTTTATTGAATTGATTTTTGTTAAGCTTTTCTACATCAGTGTACATGATCTGAGTTTCAAAACTACATAACCAAAGGCATCAAGTTGTTCTGCTTTTTCTTTTTAAATTCAGTGTAATTAAAAGACATGAAAAGAAGAAGGAATCTGTCAAATATTATTAAGCAAGCCGGCGTGCCAGGTACCTTGGCAAGCAGCGCATTGCACTGCATGTAACTGATGCCACAGGAAGAGAGGTGCCACAATTCAAAAGACGGTCAATAAGCTGGTTTAAGAAGGCTTTGCATTTCTGAAGAATAATGCAATTAATCTTATGATTAGAGTTAAGTATGAAACTTTTCTGCATTTAACCTGTAAAACCAGACCCCAGAGGACTCACCCTTGGTATCTGGGGACATTTGCAATCACCAAAATCTTCTTTTCTTTTCCTCCCATGTTTCTCATGGGTATGATGGAGTCTGCCTCTTCAGGTTTCCTCTCTTCTTCTGCTGGTTTGTGATTTCAGGTCCTGGTGCTGGATGATCTCCTCCTCCCTAGATACACCAAGCAGCTAGGACAGATAGATCCAGTGTGACAGACAGACAGACAGACAGACAGACAGAGAGACACGTCAGGTCAGGAGAGACAGCTCAGTGGGAAGTGCTGGGTGCTTGTGGCTTTCTGCACTGGGAGCTACAGACAAGGAAAAGCACCACAGGGGGTTGGTGAGGGAACAAGAGGGTGTGAGGTGGAGGTCCGTGTGCCTCTACAAGAGGAGGGATGATAGAATGACAGAGGACGAGAGATACCGGGCTGGGGGGTGGGTGGGGGTGGTCAAAGATACAGGTTAGGGCTTTTAAAAATGTCTGCCTTGTTTGTTGTTTACCTTTTTGTATACCCTTTGCTTCACCAGGATGGACAAAAAAAACAGCACCATGGAACTAAACAACAGTAAATCAGTTAACAGTATGCATCAAAACGCATCTCATTATTGTGTGTTGTTTTTGTCACTGTCATCTGTTGCTCTTCTGACCTTCCCATTAGGGAGCCCTGTCTTTAGTTTTCGGTCCTGACACTGTTTATCTCCTCTGGTCCTTCTGCCTTCTCACTCTCTCTGCTAATTGGCTGCACTGGTGCCTGTTGCTGTTGGATTTAACAGTACTTTACATCAGTCCAACAGAGTCGCCCTGGGCCAAAGGTTTGTATTCCCTTCGTGCTATTTTTAGCTCATACTAGATCACACTATCCTAGGACAATAGTAGTGTTTACCACAGGAAATACGACAACACTGAGTCATTGTCACATGACACATTGTACTTGTATTTCAAAGCATCGGTCAATTGTGTTTGCATGTAAAAATGGCATAAAGTTATGGGAACACTCAAAGCTGCAGTTCCACAGAACAGCCCCAGAACTCAATGTGAGATAAGATAAAATGTTCCAGACACACCTCTGTTCAGAGCTGAAAAGCACCAGCATGTATACAGACTGGAACAGCCGAGAAGCCTGTGAATGCCATGATCTTACTGATGAAACAAGCTAGTAAATGATGACCTGACAACCACAGTCTGGTTTATATTGGGTCTTTGAAGACCCGGAATGTCTGCTTTTAATTCAGTTCAATTCAGTTGCATTTGTAAAGCACCGAATCAACAAAAATCACCCTAAGGAACTTTGCATAGAGAAAAACCCAACAAATCCACCTTAAACAAGCACTTGGTGAAAGTGGAGAGGAAAAACCCCTTTCAGTGGAAGAAAGTTCCAACAGACCCCAGCTCTTGGTGGGCGGCCTTCCTTCCTTCAGTTGGGGTGAGTGAATAGAGGAGAGAAAAGAAAAGAAAAGCAACAAGACACAACAAACAAACAAACATCAGGTTGATGTAGCTGGTGACTGAACATCAGAAACGTGGAGCTATTTATACATGTAGACAAACAACCACACTCCCTCCTATGGACAATTTAGAGACGCCCATCAACCTAACCTGCATGTCTTTGGACTGTGGGAGGAAGCCAGAGTATGCAGAGAGAACCCATGCAGGCACAGGGAGAACATGTAGGCTCCCCACAGACAGGCCCTGGGTTGGCCCAGGCTCAAATCCAGAACCTTCTTGCTGTGAGGCAACAGCACTAACCACTGTGCTGCCCAACAATAACAACAATAATAATTTATTGGAAGTACTACAAAATCATCTAAATAAAAATGTGGTTCTACAGGGAATGGCAGAGTCATAAATAGCAGATGTACTCAGTGACGATCAGGCCAGCTGTAAGAGCTGCGTTTACTGTGAGGTATTTTCAGGCTAACATGCTGTGTAAAGTATCTGGCATGTCTGCAGTAGTGTCTGAAAGATATACCATATCACAATTTCTGTGAGGCCCACTGGTGTTTTATGAAGTGTAAATCTTTCAAACACTGACTGCACAGGAGCTGCAAAACAACAGACGCACACTATGGAGGCTGTCGGGTGACCCGCTCTGCAACTGACACAGATTCCCAGGAGTCTCATGTAATTTTACCTGGGATCTCAATCAGGAGGGCAAATTCCCTGCGAAGGTCTCAGCTGTGTGTACACAGTGAAGCGGCCAAGCCGGCTGAGCACAGCAGTCAACTGCAAAAGCTTCTTCCTTCTACTGATGGAATCATGTTTGCCTTGACCTCAGGCGGATTCATGTACGATGGTGATGGTCAGTACAGTGTACTAACATGACCTCAGGCCTAGAAATCTGCAGCTCATTTATGGCTCTGCAGCCTAGTTAGAGTCAAGTGATGATGAAGTGGTCAGTAAACAGCCTGGTAAACCCAGAACTACAGCTGGAGAACAAAGTCACCCACAGTTTCCTGGAGTGCACTGGAGTTGTTCCTCCATGTTGGAAAAAGACAACATTTGCTGTGTCGTGATTACAGAATTAAGGCAGGACTGTATGTAGGCCTGCTTTATGAGCAGACAAGGTCACAGGAGAGTGATATATTTGCATTTTTATTTGCAGCACTTTATTAAGTACACCTAGCTTTTGTCCACACAACTCATACCTACATTTATATGCTGCAGCCAAACTGAAAACAAAGCTCAACTTTACAAACCACTGCCCCGGTAATCACAGACACATACTGTACTGTAGATAAGACACAACTAAGCTACATATATTGGTGTGAGCATCGGTTATTGATGCACAAATTGCCATCTAAAGTATATCATGTAAAATCATGTCTGATGTCTCATGACTTCATATTCAGTGCAGGTGAATTGTTAGGCCCTGACTATTACTGACAGCCAAAATTGCTGTGGAACAACCAGCTCATCACATCCCATCCCATCTGTTTACCCTCTCTCTCACACTTTTTTCCCACAGCTCCACCTTATTCAAACAACTGTTGTCCTGGAGTGGACTGGAGTTGTTCATCCATGTTGGAAAAAGACAACATTTGCTGTGTCGTGATTACAGAATTAAGGCAGGACTGTATGTAGGCCTGCTTTATGAGCAGACAAGGTCACAGGAGAGTGATACAGTATATTTGCATTTTTATATGTAGCAGCAACATTAGATATAATTGTGCTTATACTGTATATAAGAGCATGTAGTTACAAACACACTTTCTGACAGATGCCTAAGTGCTTAGCTGAACAGCCAGGAGAATCTGAGCAAATACAGGAAGAGCTGACACAGGGTTCATCATCTGTTGGTCCATGGGCAGCTGAATCACTCCAGAATCTGGATCAAATACATAGCACCTTATTTAATTGCATCTATGGGACGTATTGGAGTCATCGGTATGGAGAAGATGCAGTGATGTGTTCTGATCTGTTCACCATGGTACAGTCTGTTCAGCATGTGTTTAGTCAGTCACACTAGCACAGATTTTGTACAGGCATTTAGTTAAACTCAGTAATGTGCTATGCACATGTAGTGTTAATGCCAAGCTAGGCTAACCACATCCAGAAAGCAATAAGAGCCAAATGTTATTCTTTTAAATGACTTTGGGATGAAATCTGAACCAAGCTGGCACAAACACATCCTTGACTTAATGGCTAACATGTTAGCATACAGTTGTCTTTTTACACAGCCAACAGACACGGAAATAAAATAGCATGTATATGTGTATACACTGTGTCCCCCTGATGAGTGGAAGTATAGTCTTTACTCTCTTTCTGTCTCTGTTTTGGTTTCCAACTCCTGAAAATGATCATCTCTCTCTTCAGCTGTTGGATTTTCAGCTTCCTTCATTAATAAAAGGCATAACTGATCATTTTTGTCCGCTGTTTGGTGGTGGGTACTACTGTATACTACAACAGAGTGTCAGAGCCACATTAAGGAAACAAATTAAAGGAGGAAGACTTTTGTTTTTAATTTTAAATGGGATCAAGTTATATCTGATGTCTCATGACTTCATATTCAGTGCAGGTGAACTGTTAGGCCCTGACTATTACTGACAGCCAACATTGTTGCGGAACAACCAGCTCATCACATCCCATCCGTTTACCCTCTCTCTCATACTTTTTTCCCACAGCTCCACCTTATTCAAACAACTGTTGTCCTCCAGTGGCCTCCCAGGTTGCAGCTGCTGCGGCACAGCCACCAGGCTTTAGTGGATACAGGCCTTTGTGTGTTTTGTAATCTGTGCGCTGGGAGACACAGATCATTTAAGCCATGGTTTGTAATGCTTTAATGGGCATTGGTGTTACCTCCATGTGCCTGCTGGAGGACAAAAGAAAGTAAGATAAACCATATGAAACTCTCACACACATAGACTCAGCAACACTCTTCACTCCCAACCCTCTCTTCATGCTGGTGACAAGCAGCTATGCTTTCTCTGATACTGTGGCATGATGCACCTTTATAATGTCATGGTGTGCAGAATAAGACACCACAAAGTGATGGTGCTCTCTGGCTCCCACTAGAGGTCGTGATGCAGCGTCTGCAGCTCTGACGCTTCAGTGGAAGAGTTTGTTCATTTATCATGCAGATTTTTACTTGGGTCTAGGACATTTTAGGATATTTTATTTTTTAAAACTATATTCCATTGCAGTATAATTTGGCTTTGCATTTTTATCTTGAGCAATTCTTAGTGTTGAGGTGTGTTCGTTTTAAATTGAAAAGAGAAGACTAATAAGAGGATATATAGTTCACAGTGTGAAATTTATTATGCATTAACCTATCAAAATTAGCATGTACACATGGATTTTCACTGTTTAGGACAAAACAGAAAAGACTGACCTCAACTTAGTGGTAAACAATATTTGTATGAAAAGGTACTACTATCTAATTGGTCCAAAACTGTTGGGGAGAAGCCGTGGTTTAGACTTAACTCTCCCGTTATTGGTCCTTCAGTCCGTCCGTCCTCTCTGCTCCAATCATCGTGGACAGCGCCCTAGGAAGG